ACAACAGGGCATAGCTCTATGACAATCTAGGCTCTTACAAAGTTAGGTACCTAAGACTTTCTGGATTCCAAGCCAGGGGTAATATAGTAAAAATGGACAAATGGGTTATGGCACACTGAAAAGCTGCCTTCTGCACAGCAAATGAGACAGTCATAGGAGGAAAAAGACAGTAAGGGGTTAGTCTCCAAAGTGCATAAGCATTCAAACACACTCCAGGAATGGAGCTGTGTGAGGAGAATTCTGAATGCTTGTGAGAACACTCCAAGAAGACAAGACAGGAGTCTTCCGACCTCCATTTCTTCGAAACATGGAATTGTTCTGAGAATGTGTTTACATGCTCCTCCCAGGTGTAGCGGACAGGAGTTTACTTCAGATTACTCCACTATTGCTTGCTGCTATTATTAAATTAAATGTGTACCTATTCTTCAAATACCTCTATGGCAAAAACCTGTTTTTGCCATGTGTGGCTTGTCCTTGTGATTGTATAGAGCTTTAACTCACAAGAACTTTACTCACGTGATTCTTCCTAACTCCCAGAATATAAATTGTCTGAGACTTTGAACACAGATGGCTATAGCATTTATTATTTACGCAGCCCATCACATTTTTAGGCTCCTTCCCCCATGTCCCACTGTCTTTGGAGTGGTAAACAAGGAGGGGGTGTGTGAATCAGGGCCCTGCAGTCAGCTCAGCTATGAGCTCAGAGTGGGGATTCTCACTCTCAGAAGCCATCTCCCGAGAAGAGGAGGGGAGTGAGCATGAAGGGGCAGAAACCAGGGAAGGTCTTGCCTTGTGTTCAGCTTGTGCATCAGTGTTTAAAGAAAGGAGGGCACAAGGATTAAAGTCACAACGATTAGATTGCTTGCAAATTGTTCATGATTACAATCCCTCGCTTCCGAGAAGACGAACTTTAGATGAAAGAGCATGGGACAGAGTCCAAAATTACATTGAATAGGCATATGTCCAAGGGGAAGAGATCCCTGTTCAATTTTGGGTCACTTGGGGATTAATTTGGAATATTATTAAAATATTTAAGGATGATAAGAAAGACATGAATCATGAGGAAGAGATAGCTAATTCCTTGTGTCAAGTTGGGAGCATAGGCCCCAGCCCCTCGCATCTATCCCAGCCCCCAGGCCTGGTCTGGACTCCAAATTGAAGCAGGCCAGGTCCTGACCCCTCCCTGGGGGTTGGGTCAGGACCACTCCCCAGGCTATTTAAGTGATCTCCCTAAAGAGGAACACGTGGTCCCTTTTCCTTCCTCCCGGGCATTGGGGGGTGGGAGCGTGGGTGGGTATTGCTTTTGTGGGGCTTCCCAGTTTCCCCCTCAGGGACATCGGAGAGTGCAGAACTCCCATTAAACCTGGGTATTTCTTAATTCGGATTGTTTTGATTTGGCTTGATTGGGAATTTTGCGTCGGCATGTGTTAGGAAATATTCCTAACACCCTGAATGAATGTAAACTAGATGACCAAACTTTAAAATTGTTAAAAAAAGAAAAAAAAAGAAAAAAGATTTTCCCCATCATGCAAAATCGAAAGTACAAACCGCACTACCGATAACTATGCTGGTGACAATTCCCTCCATTCCTTTACTGAAGCCCCCTTTAAACAGACATTCTCCATCGCTGAAAATGACCTTGAAGCATGGGGTAAGAAATTTGATAATCAACTTCCCCTCCTACAGATGGTTTCACTGTGTAGCCCTGGCTGTCCTAGAACTAGCTCTTGTAGATTAGGATGGCCTTGAACTCACAGAGATCTGCCTGCCTCTCCTCCTGAGTGCTGGGATTAAAAGCGTGAGCCACTACCACCCGGTGATAAACAAGTTTTTGATGAGGACTTAGGAGAGCCTATGAAAAAGTTAATTTTATAGCCTAGACAAGCTAGGGCATGGAAGGGAAATGGATTTTTTTTTCTCTCCCAATTCCTCTTGGCCTCATGAATTGTGCTTGGTGTTTCTCATGCACTAACCAATCAATTTAAAGTGTTAGAAGGAGAGATGGCTTTGGATAGTCTTTGCATATTATCTCTAGAAGCAAGAAAAGAACTACAGATATTTGAATCCAGACTAAAAGAGGCCTTTGTATATTGTGTGGTTCCTTCACTTAAACTTACTTATTTTCCCCACTAAATTGTCTCCTACAGGTATTATAACACAAGAGGATAAACCCTTGGAAGGGGCTTATTCACAGCACCAGGGCTGTAAAATACTAACTGCTTACTTTACACCAGCCTTCTCCCATTCCACAGGCAAATGCTTAGTGTACTGATGGTTCATTTAAGAATACAGGAAGAATTTATGGTCGAGATGTTATCAATCTATTAATACTTCTTTTTCCTCAACCCAACAGGTGGACCTGGTTGTTTTGATTCACTTCTTATGGTTAATTCATAAACCCTTAAATATTGCTTCTGATTCTGCTTACAGTGTAGTATTATTCATAGTAATAAACTTATACTCCTGCAAACTCCACCCCCTTTTTTTGGAGAAAGAAATAAGCAAACTGATTCATTAATTTGTCCTATATTTAGCTCTCCAGAAGAAAGTTGGGAAGGAGTGTGATCCGTCACTGCAGATGGATCACCTGAAACATCTCTCTGGTTCCTCTGGCCCTGGGTCATCAAGGACAATAACAAAGGGTGAGGAAACAGTGGAAGCCACCAGAAAGATAGCAAACGTCCAGTTAAAGGACAAAATAAGATATATTTCACCAGTTGTCTAGTCTGCCTATCTGGGGTCAAGTTAAGGCCCTGTGCATCAAGGAAGAAGTAAACACGCAGAGTCCTTGTCACCTGAGAATCTCTTTCTGGCAATGCTAGATGCTTTGACCTGTTCATCTGCAGTTGGAGCCTCTGAGGCCGTCTACACCTGCAGATTCAATCAGCCTCAAGTCTAAACTGTTCAAAGAAAGTGCATAGGCCTGAATACAACATGTGCAGATGTGTTTGTTGTCATTCTCTAGATAATACATGATGGCTATTCATGTTGCCTTTGCATCACATTAGGTAATGTGAGTAACTAGAAAAGACAGTATGAAAGCAGGTAGGTAAGGACGATTTGCAAGTATAATGGTTTTCTATGCTAGGGACTCTGGGGGGAGGTGGCTCTTGAACTAGCCTCCCATGAACACTAAAGGATAATTGTATACATGTAAGTTTTTCTTAATTCTTTAGCTGATGTGGGCTGGGCTGGCTTTGAGTCTTGACCGTTAGGAAAATGCTGTAATGGATGTGGGAGTATAGATCTCTTCTGTTTACTGACTCCCTGTTGTGTGGATATGTATTCAGTGGTGTGATCACTGGATTATGTGGTAGTTCTGTGTTAGCAGTACCATGGATCAGACCCAACCTTCATACATGCTAAGCTCACTGAAGCCCCTGCCCTATTTTTTTCTCTTCTTTCTTTATTGATTTTTATTGAGCTCTGCTCCCCTCCCTGCCTCTCCCCTCCCCTTCAACTCTCCCAAAGTCCCCATGCTCCCAATTTACTCAGGAGATCTTGTCTTTTTCTACTTCCCATGTAGATTAGCTCTATGTATGTCTCTCTTAGAGTCATCATTATTGTCTAGGTTCTCTGGGATTGTGATTTGTGGCCCAGCCCTATTTTCAGTTTTTGGAAGAACCTCTATGCTATACTAATTTCATTTTTAATAGTGAGCAAGATTTACCTTTTCTTTATATCCTTACCATGTACTATTTGTGGATTTTTTTTATTCTCTCATATATTACATCCCAACTACAGCTCCTCCTCCCTTCCCTCTCCCTAGTTTCTCATTCCCCTCTTCCCCTCTCCCCCCAAAAAGAGCAGGCCTCCCAGAGATAGCATATGCTTGGTATTATTGTAGCTTATGCCATCATATCAGGGCAACCCAGTAGGAAGAAAAGGGTTCCACAATCAGGCAAAAGAGTCAAAGACAGCCCCCACTCCCATGGTTAGGAGTCCCCCAAGAACACCAAGCTACTTAACCATAAGTATATATGTAGAGGATCTAGACCAAACCCCTATAGGCTCCCTGATCTCAGTGAGCCTCCATTATATGTTATGATTCTTTGGTGTTTTTGTGAGATTCCTAATAGTGGGAGCGGGGATGTCACTGACTCTTTCCCCTGTTCTAGGGACCCTTTTCTTCCTAGTTGGTTGCCTCTCCCAGCCTTGATATGAGGGTTTGTGTGACTGCCCCGCTGAGTCTTATTGTACCTTGCTATGTAGTGTTTGGCTGATATACCTGAGAGGTCTACTCTTTCCTTAAGGGAAACCTAGGAACAGTGGATCTGGGGAGAGAAGGGGGGTAAGACTGGGAGAAGTGGAGGGAGGGGAAACTGTTCTCTTGAGATTTAGCTAAACAATAGATACAGAGATGGCAGTGAAACTTTCTGTCATTCATCTTGCCCAGTCCTGTAGCTTCTCTATTCTGATCGTCTTCTGCTTCTTTCAAATGCTTGTATAGGAAGCTCTGAGCACCTTTGAGGAGCAGCTCACGCCCATCACTCTTTCTCCACACTATGAGGAGCACCTCATGTCCATATTCTCAGTAGCCTTTTCTGAAGGGCTAATCTGTTGTAGAGAAAATAAAGCCTGTGTCTGTGTGCATGTGTATATGTGTTTGTATGTCTGTGTACAGGCATGCATATGTGCCTGTGTTGTTTTCATCTTTGTGAATTCTGTAGGGACTTCTCTGGCTTATTAATGTATTTTCTCAAGCACTTACAGTGCATTACTTACACCATAAAATTTCAGGTGAGATCCACACCCTCTGTCACTGAAAAGAGGGAGAGGCTGACATGTAAACAAATGATTACCATATTAAGTGAGATACAAAGCAAAGCTGAGTCAAGTTTAAATATAACTTTTTAAATATAAATATAAATAAGTTTAAATATAACACAGGCTTATATTTCCCTTTTCTTCTTGAGGAGACATGATGTTCCCCATAACACACTGTCTTTCACTTGGTATTAGTCAAAGATACAAATGATAAACAGCAAAACACAACTTACCGAGTGTGTGGAAAGGCCTCTGGCTTGGGAAATGTGAGAAGAACCCAGGCTTTAATGCATTTGTAATCACAATGTCAAAAAGGTCTGCAAAATCCTTCCTAAAAAGCAAAGTAAATTTCCCTTAAGGAATTATAAAAGTTCCACAGAGAACAGAACTGAACCTATGTATTTTATCATGGCATCACTGTTCATCTTCCGATCAGCTCTCACATGCGTATAACATGCAAACATCTATCTCATACACTTTAAGTTGGAAGCTACACTGGAAAGAGAAGGTAGTTAGGTACTAGCCAATTCCTCTAAAAATACCACAATTACTAAAAGCATAAACATAACAAAGAAAAGCAAAGCAAGTAAAGAAGGAACAAAAGGAGAGAGAGAAGAAAGCAAGCAAGAGCACAGAAGCCATGCTGACGCAGACTTGGGACTCACTCTCTCGTGAAAACACCTTGGCAAGCAAGAGAAGCTCTAGCAGCCGGAAGTAGTCCATACGTTCAAACACGAGGACTGGAATTCATCTGCACTTATCAGCTGAAGAGCCAATAGGCTTGGGTCTATACAGGTCCCACAGAACGCAGCACTATAACAAGCCCAGTGACAGTTCTTTGAGTGTTCAAAACACAAGGAGGTTATTTTATTTTGAAAACCAGTGAAGTCCTGTAACAGGTTTTGGATGACAACATCAGTGTATGTGGAGTGCTATGCCAGCTAAGGTCTATCTGATAAACAGCGGTTCTCTCTAGGGCTCACCATTATCCTGGAGAAACAGTGCTTCAGGCTGTGTTAACAAAAGAAATGTGTTGAGAGTAGAAATTGAGATGAGAAGCAGGATTTTGGTTATCATGGTGGAAAAGGGAACTGAAAGCCCCAGGTATTCCAATGCATGGTCCTAGACCACGCTGCAAAGGTCTCTTGAAGAGGTGACCTCACCAGGTACCCTGGACACGAGCCTTAATTCACATCAAGGATATCTGCCTACATATTCTCAGGAAGCAGAAAACCAACCCATTGCCAGGTAAGTAGGCCACAGAATAGACTAAATTTGTGTGCACGCTAAAGAACACAGAACTCCTGGAACTAAAGACAATTGATGGAGGTAAGCAGAGGGGCTATGGCTTGGTTCACACTCAGGGCAATTGTGTTTGTTGAGACTTGAAATCTTAGAGGAAATCTAACAACCCTCTGTGGAATCCCGCTTTGACTATGGGTCTTCCATCATGTTGCTAAGAATGACACATACTAGCTTAACAATTATTAAAGCTTACCAGCTATTATATACAATATGAATAGATAGTATGTACTGCTTTATTTAAATATGCCCTTATATTAATAAGGAAGTGTTGTCCTAGTTTAGAGAGTGAAATCAAGGCTCAAAGAAGTTATAAACTGTATCCTAGGCCACACAGGTCCCTTTTGAAAATCTATTACCTTGATTTTATGTTAATTCCACCCCTGGCTTTGCCAAATGGCACAGCACATGGATCTGTACTGAAATGGATACAGGGGCTACATCCTACAATCTGTCAGGGAGTATATTCTTTTCTTTTTTTTTTAAGTCAAATTTGAAGCAAATTTATTAAATACTGGTCAGGATGATGGACACTGGCTGGGATTCTCCGACACTGGCTGTGAATTAAGTTACTTATCATAAAGGCAAACCCCACAAGGCTACAAACTTCTACCTCTCACCTGGGGATGAGCATACATCCTGACATACTTCCTGTCTACATACCCCCTGTCCATGTGTGATCGAACACATCCTGTGCAGCTGGGGCAGCCAACCTTGTTTGCAGAAGTGAAAACACGTGGCCTGCGATCTGACATGAGCAGCGCCAGCATTCCAGGAAAGATTCTAAAGTCAGTCCTCAGCAGTCACATGGGGCAGAGCTCTGAAATCCATGAAGGGCGGCTGGTCACTTACCCAAGGATATAAGTGCCAAGGAGTTTACAGTAATCACTGTGAGAACTGGTGATCAACATAGTAATTTTCCCAGCATCCTTCAGCTGTCGAAGCCACCTTCTTACAGACTCAGGACAGCGATACACATACTTGCCTAGATTTCTTTTTATTTCTGGAAAGAAGAACCCACAATTTTCTGAAAAATAAAAACAGAAAGGTAATATCTTTAATAAAAATGCTTTTAAATTTAGTTTACTCGCAGACAAGTATATGTCTTTCAAAGCTGCAGAAAAATCAAAGGCATAAAGACCAGGGTCAAATAATCTAGCCAGTATGCCAATACCAACTACTATTTGTTTGCTTGTTTTTGGAGACAGGATCTCTCTATGTAGTCCCGGCTATTCTGGAACTCACAGAGATCTGCCTGTCTATGCCTCCCAGTGTGGGGATTAAAGGCATGCACCGACTGGCCTAACTACTTTTAGAAGTAGTATTTCTGGGGCTATAGAGATGGCTAAGTTGCTAAGAGTGTGTACTGTCTTGCAGAGGATTTGAGTTCAGCTACAGCTGCTCTTAGACAGATTTGGCATCTCACAGACTCCCTGTAATTCCAGCTCAGGGCCCAGTGTCTTCTGTTGTTCTCAGTGCCTTCACTCGGATACAGATATCCCACACAGATATAAACAGACACAAACAAAATGGAAAATGAAAAAAAATCTCAAAAATACATTATTTGTTTACTTTAAAGATTAATGATAATTAGCCAGATGGTGGTGGCCCATGCCTTTAATCTTGGGAGACAGAGGCAGGTGGATCCCTGTGAGTTTGAACTCAGCCTGGTCTACAAGAGCTAGTTCCATGACAGGCTCCAAGCCTACAGAGAAACCCTGTCTTGAAAAACAAAAAACAAAATGATAATTGATAATACTGTTACATGAGAATCAATGTAATTAAAATAATATAAGCATCATCACATTTCAAAAGAGAAAACCTGACAGTTTTAAGTGAGCTAATTAATAAATACTGAGCAAATACTTAATGAAACCAGATAAGACCCAAACAATCAGATAATGCGCCAGGAGCCCGTCTTTGTCAAGAAGCAGCAAATCAGCTGTCTATGTCCTTCAGAGGGACAGTCGTGTCATTTTGGATGGAATACAAACCTCTATTGCTAGGTTACAGCTACTTAAAGGTTCCAGAGCAAAGTTGCCAGAGAAAGCGGCAAGGCACTCATAGGCTGGAGTGGCTAACGAGCTGCCGGTCTCGGTCCTCATAGCATCGGGCAATGAAGGTTTTGTTGAAAGGCTACCAGACTTGAGGAGCATTTTGGAAAGACTGTTTTCTACATGCGAGTACTAATAATCAGAGAAGGAAATCCAAGTTCTTAGTGTCTTTAATGCTAGAAGACCAAAACAAGACGTTAAACTGTACTGACTCTATAAGTCTGGGCTACCCCTGAAACTCTGTCCACAGTGATGCACATGAAGTAGCAGAAATGAAGATATTTTAAGAACATCAGCACACCAGGCTGGAAGAGTCTATATGAAACAAACAAACAAAACTGAAGCTAAAACAGAAGCGAATACTGTTCTGTGCCTGCCCAGGTCCACCCCACTTCCTCTTTGTTGGAGAATACTGCAATGTGTGTGAAATTTCACTTTTCCTTTCTGGGCCCTGGTGTCTGTGCACACACACAGTGAGAGTTTCCCCCACTCATCAGGGCATTTCTTAGAGAGGTGCAGAGCCCCGCATGTGGCCGCTGAGCGCCGAGGAAAGCACCAAAGGAGCAGGAGACCCTGGAGTAATGCACACCACTGAAAACAGGGTGAGGAGCCCTCGACTGCCACTCGACTTTGCCATGATTACAAATTCTACCTAGACTTGTAGCAGTACCTTCAACACAAAGAGCAAGTTAGGATTGGGAGGAAAGACATACGAGGGACACTTAGACTCTGGATAACATCAGTGGGCTTCAGGACAAGCCACTGAGACAACAAACCTCTAGATGAAATTTCTCAGGTGAAAGAAACTCAATTTAGTAACAGCCTACACATTAAGAACACCTATTACTGGCAGCCTTGAGCATATTGATGAGAAAAGCATACATCACACCGACATCACAAGCAGGCTTGAGCTTAGCATGAAAGAGAGTATGTTATAGCAAGAAAACAATCAGATGTCAGAAGACCGAGTATAAAGACAGCTTTTACACAGCTCTCTTTGTATCTGGTCCTCTAGAGCACGAATGTTTCAGAAGGTACTCAATGACCCGTAGAAATTAAAATATATTTTCTGTTCTTCAGTGAAGAGAAGGTTCTGATAATAAAAGGATATTAAGAAAAACAACAAATCAAACGACTAAGAACACTAAGTAATTTCAGAGACTTTTACACATTATGAGTGGCATGCACTTTTGCAGCTAATTTTACATCTGGAAAACAAAGATGCATAATGCATGATGCTGGAAACACAATCTTTGCTGTTTTTAGACAAGGTTTTTCTTGGCTATGTGTGCCTACTGCCCTCTGGTGATCAAAATCCAAATTGCTATTAAAATTAGTGTTAATATTACAAAGGGATAAAAGAAGCATATATATTTAAATACCACAATTTAAATTCATTATCTAGATTAATTTTATTAGTAACTCTCAGTGAGTCTAACCCAAGAAGGCAAGTACACTAACTCAATCAGGGAGGAGTAATACTACTTGGGTTACCCTTTCACAAGCCACCTATGGGGCAGACCTAAAAACACAACACTATTTGAACAGAAGTCAGTGGTAGATTCTAAGTTGCATGAACTACAAAAGATCACAGACTGACACACCACATAACCTCACTGTGTGTGTGTGTGTGTGTGTGTGTGTGTGTGTGTGTGTGTGTGCATGTGTGCGTGTGTGAATATCATGTACCTATGTGATGTGGGAGGCAGAAGACAATCTCAGGCAGAGTTTTCAGCATCATTTGTCACCCTGGAAACCCACAAGTACATTAGACTGGTGGTCAGGGAACCCCAGGGACCCACTTTTCTCCATTTCACCAGTGCTTCAATTGTAAGCAGGTACCACTGTGTCTGGCATTCTGTGTAAGGTGCAGGTACAAGGTGCGGGGTACAGGGACTAAACTCATGTTCTGATGCTTGCAAGGCAAGGATTTACCAAGTCATCTCCCTAGCCCCCCCAATCACACTATTCAACAAATTTTAAAATTAGATTAATTTACTGTATGTGTGTATACACTTATCATGGCACATACGTGGAGGTCAGAGGCAGCTCCCGAGAAGTCTCTCCTTCCACAGCTGTGGGTCCCAGGACTTGAACTCAGGTTGTCAGCACCGGTGACTAGAGCCATTATCTGCCCTCTCTACAGATTTCAAACTATATTCTTATTAAGAGAGAATTAGTCTTCTATTAAATGATTTCTCTAAGAGATTAAACTTTGAAGGCAAGAAATGTATTTTTCGGTTTAGCACGATGCTTACTACAATCAATGCATGAATGCTGGATTAGTACAGAAAAAAGTACAAGAACATTCATATCTTCATATTTAAATTAACAATCTAAATGTGGCATGCTGCCAAAATGTACATAACAAATGAAGTTTATATTCACTATGTGCTGTCAAAGTCATCTGTGTTTAAAGTCGTGCTCTTTCACCATTATAAAATCATATTTAAGCCAGGTGGTGGTGGCAGTGCACGTCTTCAATACCAGCACTTGGGAGGCAGAGGCAGGTGGATCTTTGTGAGTTCAAGGCCAGCCTTGTCTACATAGAGAAACCCTGCCTCGAGAAACCAAAATAAATAAATAAAAATAAAAAGATCATGCTTAATACAATATCAACAGATTACCACCAATGCGCAAGACAGGGAATTCAGATCTAAGGTGGAACGCAATGGCCCTGCTTGTTCTCAACCTACAAAGACGTTTGTGTTTTCACTTAACCTCTGAAGGAATTCTGCTTCACTGCCACTCTGTGGAAATCATTTTCCTGGCTCTTCCACCGCCCTTCTTAGCCTAGGAAGCTGTTTTCTGTGTCCAGATGGAAAGAAAGGTGAAATTTCAAAAAGCCGACTTTAAAGAAGAAAAGCTTAGCTCTCTCATGCTAATAATTTGGTTGATACAACATCATGGGAAAGCCGTCACGCTGGAACCGTCGGCTGTGTACAGAAGACAGCCTGCAGGAACATCAGGCAGAGTTGGGAGACCTCTCGTGGCCAGAGAAAATTGGTACAACTCCAGCACAGAACTGTCAGTTCCACTGACCCTTGTGCCACTCCTACCATCCCCGAGGAAGCAGGCACTTCTGCTACCCAGCTGCCACCATCCGGTGCGAGCTGGGGAAAGAGCTGTCAGTGCTGGGAAGGGGAGTGGAGATGGTAGGGTGTTAACACCTCCACCATCAGCTTCCAGTTAAGGTCTGCTCCTGCTGCCGCTGCAGAACATAACTGAGGACACTGAAAATGGCAATGCTGCCGGTTAGATAAGAGCACATTAAGAAACAGCAGAAACATTTCCCATGGGATGTTAAAATGTGTATGCTATAGAGACGACCCAATTAATTATTTTCTGAAAAATATGTTGTCTACAAAAGGTTTAGATATTCATCAGAGGATGAAAGTGGTACATTTGTGTATTTATAGAGGGCAAAGCATACAACCCTTCCTTACTGCTTTTCCTCTAAGATGGTTCTTTGTTTTATGCACATAAGCTTTCAGGGGAAGGATTTCTATACACTAGTGGTTCTCAAAGTTAGGGGCAAATGAGAGACCACTAGAGGATTTACTCTCAGAGTCTGGATTCAGTTGATCTAAGCCCTTATTTTAAGAATGGCTGCATCCATTAGAACACACATAAATCCAGACAGCAAGTGAAAAACTTCCCTAATAGAATGGGATCATCGAAGTGGGACACTAAAGGAAGCATAGTTAATGTCATTTGATGAGGGATGAATCAACATCATTTAGTCTTCAAAACTCAACTCATTTTACAATTTATAAACAAGAGTTGCACTGTTTCTTTACTTGCTTTACCTGAGTGTCGTCAATGTCTCACAAATACAGTTTCTTACTAATAATCAACCATGCTCAGGATTTATAAACAAAACTAACTTGATGACACTATTTTGTGATTAAAATACTTTTCTACAAGGTAGTACATATGTCCTCATGTGTAGAACTCAGGAATGATGCTACTG